TATATATATATATATCCGCATTTAATAAAAATTTAATAAAACCTATTTCACTTTCCCGCCTAAAAATGTTACATGTTACTTTATTCATTTTTTTTTTATAAATACAGACACGTTGACTATGTTGTGTACTGAATGTGACAATTACTAATAAACATATTATTAGTCAGTACTAAAATTTGAAAGTTACGAATAAACATTTTATTTTATTAAATTAAATGTGGCATTTACTAATAAACATAAACATTTATTTAGTTAATAAAATTATAATCAGTCATTTTCTTATAAGTTTTTGTTTTACTCTATAAATGAATAATATAACCAAAGAAAATTGAAAAATACAAACATATACAAAAATTAAAAAAAACATTACAAATTATTACTAATTACAAATAAACATTTAATTCACCGCCCTCCAGCTTTGAATTGAACCTACAAAAAATAATTAAAATATATAAATCAGTAAACAATTTCATTATCCCATTATTTAATAAAGATAAGTATTAAACTCTTCAATTTCAGCAAGGCGAGAAAAATAAATTTAAATCAAAATCCAGACCAATGAAAAAGAGGCGGCAGCTAAGTTGCATAAAATTCAAAAAATCAAATTAGTTTTATAGATTAAGAAAATAGAGGAATATTATTATTCCATGATTTTAACACATTATTTATACATAATAATATAATTAAATATCATGTACAATTTCCAAAGAAGAATGAAAAAGAGGTTGATATGGGAAAAATAAAAAAAAAGCCACTCACATAAAGTTGAGAGATTACAAAAATTAGATGAATTTGATTATCCCTTGATTTATGCACATAATATTATATATTAAATTAAATATATTAAATATACCGATTTTGGCCATACTAAGACCATATAAATTTGAGCAACATTCATTCACAATTTATCATTGCAATTTTCATCAAACAAAAAAAAAAATCTCCTCATTTTCTCTAATCAGCAATGGCATCTATTTTTAACAATTTGACATTCTTGACCAAAAACAAGAATAAGATTGCAAGGCTCTGATTAGTCAGACACTACACTCGGTATTATCAGTCTAATACAGCAAAAATCAGCGGGCATGATTTCATTTTTCATGATGTTAAGGTCTATATTTTTTATTTCTCTATTATTCTATTAATTTGTTCAAACAAATTTTTATACTAACAACCTTTGACAATGTTCATTTTTTTTAAAGGGCCAGCGTATACACGGATGGGCACCCGGATGCTTATCCGAAAAGTTCGAATACTATAAACTTCTCGAAGGCAATGTCACGAGATAATAAATTTTGAATTTGTGGAGGACAAAATTTTGAATGCATACATCATGAAAAATGAAATCATGCCCGCTGATTTTTGTTGCACTAGACTGATAATACCGAGTATAGTGTTTGACTAATCGGAACCTTGCAGTCTTATTCTTGTTTTTGGCCAAGAAGGTCAAATTGTTAAAAATGTATGCCATTGTTGATTAGAGAAAATGAGGAGAAGGTTCTTTTTTTTTTTTGTGTGTGTTTGCTGAAAATTGCAATGATAAATTGTGAATGAATGTTGCTCATATTTATATGGTCTTAGTATCGTCAAAATCGGTACATTTAATATATTTAATTTAATATATAATATTATGTGCATAAATCAAGAGATAATCAAATTCATCTAATTTTTGTAATTTGTCAACTTTATGTGAGTGACTTTTATTTATTTTTCCCGCATCAACCTCTTTTTCATTCCTTTTTAGAAATTGTAACTGGTATTTAATAATATTATTATGTATAAATAATGTGCTAAAATCATTGAATAATAGTATTTCTCTATTTTTTTAATCTATAAAACTAATTTGATTTTTTGAATTTTATGCAACTTAGTTGCCGCCTCTTTTTCATTGGTCTGGATTTTGATTTAAATTTATTTTTCCCGCCTTGCTGAAATTGAAGAGTTTAATATTTATATTTATTAAATAATGGGATAGTGAAATTGTTTACTGATCTTTATATTTTAATTATTTTTTGCAGGTTCAATTCAAAGGTGAAGGGCGGTGAATTAAATGTTTATTTGTAATTTGTAGTAATTTGTAATGTTCTTTTAATTTTTGTATATGTTTTGTATTCTTCAATTTTCTCTGGTTATTTATTCATTTATAGAGCAAAACAAAAAATTATAAGAAAATGTCTGATTATAATTTTATTAACTAAATAAATGTTTATGTTTATTAGTAAATGCCACATTTAATTTAATAAAATGAAATGTTTATTCGTAACTTACAAATTTTAGTACTGACTAATAAAATGTTTATTAGTAATTGTCACATTCAATACACAACATAGTCAACGCGTCTGTATTTATAAAAAAAGTGACTGTTTGTAGGCAGTTAGAAGGACATCAACATATCCTTCCCAAAGTGTGCATGTTTGGTGGCAGCCACTATAAAATAGTACAACAAAACAACAAATTAATTTCTAAAAGATGTGTATAGCCAAATTAAAATAAATCGAAAGTTGTATGAAGTATAACTTACTCAACATCTTCAAGAACAATGTCAATACACCTCTTTGGACTTCCATTTGAATTTTTTGTATGAACAATTTGAAACAAAACAATACGGCCAATCCTGTCTNNNNAAAAAAAAAAAAAAAAAAAAAATTGCAAATACTATGAGATTTCCCGAATATGTATTATTTAAAAAAAAATATAAGTTACCAAAAGGTGTGGAAGGATCTATTCTCTCACGGTCGGTTAGCTCGCTGAATTGCTTAAACTCGAACATCAACCTCGGATACTCATCATCAACTATCTCGCACATGTTAGTTGATTTGTAGAAAATGAACTTGTGACTCGACTTAGTTATCTTGAATGCACTTTTGTCCTCCACAAGTTCGAAATTTTTGATCTCGTACACATTGCCTTCGAGAAGTTTAAAGTCTTCGAACTTTTCGGATAAGCATCCGGGTGCCCATCCGTGTATACACTGGCCCTTTAAAAAAAATGAACATTGTCAAAGGCCGTTAGTATAAAATTTTGTTTGAATAAATTAATAGAATAATAGAGAAATAAAAAATATATACCTTCACATCATGAAAAATGAAATCATGCCCGCTGATTTTTGCTGCATTAGACTGATAATACCGAGTGTAGTGTCTGACTAATCGGAGCCTTGCAGTCTTATTCTTGTTTTTGGCCAAGAAGGTCAAATTGTTAAAAATGAATGTCATTGCTTATTAGAGAAAATGAGATTTTTTTTTTTTTTTGGCTAAAAATTGCACTGATAAATTGTGAATGAATGTTGCTCAAATTTATATGGTCTTAGTATGGTCAAAATCGGTACATTTAACACAACACAACACAACATACCTAGTATATTCCCAAACGGGTTGGGGTCTGGAGGGTCAGTTGTACGCAGACCTTACCCCTGTAATTATACAATGAGGTTGTTTCCGTAGCGACCCAAGGTGCATTGCGTCGTTTGATATATTTTTCTATAAACTTCACTAATAGAAGAAGCACTAGAATTGAATTGAGTCATTTTGATCTAGTCCATTATTAGCACTATGCCAAGAGAATCGTCAACAATGACTCTTCCAGCTCCATGTGTAATGGACATAAAAATCGGTACATTTAATATATTTAATTTAATATATAATATTATGTGCATAAATCAAGAGATAATCAAATTCATCTACTTTTTGTAATCTATCAACTTTATGAGTGGCTTTTATTTATTTTTCCCGCATCAACCTCTTTTTCATTCCTTTTTGGAAATTGTAACTGATAAATAATGTGTTAAAATCATGGAATAATAGTGTTTCTCTATTTTTTTTTTTCTATAAAACTAATTTGATTTTTTAAATTTTATGCAACTTAGCTGCTGCCTTTTTTCATTGGTCTGGATTTTTGATTTAAATTTATTTTTCCCGCCTTGCTGAAATTGAAAAGTTTAATATTTATATTTATTAAATAATGGGATAATGAAATTGTTTACTGATTTTATATTTTAATAACTTTTTGCAGGTTCAATTCAAAGCTGAAGGGCGGTGAATTAAATGTTTATTTGTAATTTGTAATAATTTGTAATGTTTTTTTTTAATTTTTGTATATGTTTTGTATTTTTCAATTTTCTCTGGTTATTATTTATTCATCTATAGAGCAAAACAAAAAATTATAAGAAAATGACTGATTATAATTTTATTAACTAAATAAATGTTTTATGTTTATTAGTAAATGCCACATTTAATTTAATAAAATAAAAGAATTTTTTGAAAAGGTTTTTTGGCATTGAAAAAGTATAAGAAACAACCCATCAAACATTTCAATCAACAACTATGTAATAAACAAAAAATGCAATAAATCAATTGACAATAACTTTATTTTTATTCCAAAATCAAAACTCATAAACTAGCCCTTCAAACCATGAAGCTAACAATATCCCATCACAAAAAAATTCTTATAAATTCAAAACTAACAATAATAAATGACTAATAATTAATCAATTTACTGTGGATTTGGTGGGCGACTATTAGCAGAAGAGACCCTTGAACCCCACTCAAGAAGCTCTTTGCTTGTATCATCCTTGTGAACAATCACCTCAATAAAACACAGGCAATCCTTTTTATCTCCTGTTGCTGTCTCTATAGCCTCAATAAGATCCTCCTCACAATAAACCTATGAAAATAAAACAATAAAAACAAAATAAAATAAAAATAACCTCCAAGAACATGTAAAAATTCAATCTTTTCCTTAGTGATGAATGATATTTTCCTCTTTTTGTGTACCTTTTTAGTCCAACAATTGCCTTCGCCATTACAAATGGCGTCGACTACTCCAGTGTAGTTCCAGTTCTTAATCACATTATACGGGCCATCGTGGATTTCAACCTCGATCGTGTACCCGCCATTGTTTATCAAGAAAATGATGCTCTTTTGCCCGTTTCGAATCATAGTCGACACGTCCTGCATTGTCACCTGCACGAAGAAATCGACCGGGCAAAACACTCGTACAAGTTAACATACTTATTCGAAAAAATGCATAATTTTCGACTACTTATTCGAAAAAATACCTAATTATTGACTACTTATTTGAGAAAAAGTCACCTGAAAGCTACCATCACCAATGCAAGCGATGACTCGTTTCTTAGGCACTGACTGAGCATACCCCAATGTAGCACCAACCGACCACCCGATCGAACCGTACTGCATTTGAAACTCGTATCTACAAAACCATCTTTCATTTACTCAAAACAATAAACCCAAATGCAAAACAATAATGATGATAATAATAAAAGAAAGAAAGAAAAAATCGCAACTTTACCCGCATCCTTCGGGAAGCTTAAGCTTCTGACAATTAAACCAAGAATCTCCCGTCTCAGCAATGACTGCCGTTTCACCCGAAAGCATCTTCTGAATATGCTGAAACAGAATATTCACCCTCAACGGCTCGTTGGGCTCGCTCTTCACCGGCGAACCTTCCGGAACATAGATCCTCTTGTAGTTCTCATAAGCCGTCGTGTTCCTCTCGACTCTCTTCTCGAGCTCATGCAAGAAGTCCTTCATGAGCACGCACCCGAACGTGGGCCCGTTTCCAATCACGACCCGATCGGGCTGGACAATAATAGCCTTCTCCCGTTTGAGCAAGAGCGAGTAGCCCACCGAGCTGTAGTCATTGAAAATCGGGCCCACGAAGATATAAGCATCAGCCGACTCGACAATCTCGCCGCAAAAGGGTGTGCCCACTGCGCCCCAATAGGTGCCGATGAAGTGCGGGTGGTGCTCCGGGACAAGCCCTTTTGCGGAGGGCATTGCGGATACAGCGTAGCCGCACGAGTCT